CTCACTGGGCTCCAGGAAGCCTCTCTTTAGAGCAAGGGACAAGAGGGAATGAGGTGGCAAGAGCATCCGTCCTCTTGGGGGCCGGCCTGGCAGGATGTGCTGAACCCTTGGGAAGGGCTTGGCAGCCAGAAGAGCCTGGATCCTGGCGGGGGCTTGCCGTGCTACAAGGAAGCTGCGAGCGCCTTTCCCTTCCACTCAAAGCACCGGGGGGAAGTGGGGGGGGGGGCGCTGCGAGCATCTCTCGCATTCGTGGCCACCCCTCAGTGTGGAGCGCTGGCCACTGGTCCCTCCCGCCTTCCCGTTGGCCAGGCACAGCGTCCCCATCCGGAGGGAGAATCCCGGCCAGACGGCTCTCCAGCCCACGAGCTCCTTCGGGAGGCGTTGCCACTGACTCCCACCTGCCTTTATCCCACGGCTGCTCCGTTTCTCGGGGCTTGTGCTGAGGGGCTTCCTGAAAAGCCTTTGGGAAGTCCAAGCAGGCAAGGCCTACGGGAGCACCCTTGCCTGTGCACGCGCAGCTGTCGGCTTTCCTCGGGGTCCCCCTCAGAAGCCGCCGGGCCGCCTTTTTTATGGGATGCAGTAGCAGCCCCAGAGCCAGAGCCAGCGAGCCAGCGAGCGAGGACCCCGTGCCCCGCGGCCCCGCTCTCGGGCTCACCGTGCGGCGAGAGGCTGCCGCAGGAGAGCGCCGTGGCCGCGCGGCCTTTCGTAGCCCATCCGCCGGGCCAGGCTGGGCTTCATCTCGAAGGGGCCTCCCAGTCACGGGGGCAGCTGCGCATCCGTCCCCAGCCGGGCCCCAGAGGCAGCGTGCGGCTGACACGACACGGGGCACCTTCCCAGCAGGGAAGAGCAGGGCAGCCACGCAAAGGGGGCCGGTGCTTTTCATTCGGCAGGCAGGGGAGCGCCCGCGCCCTGCTGCCCTGGATTGGTCGGCCCATCCCCTGCGACAAGAGCGGCCAGGCCCGGCGGCCGGTCAGGCGCTGTCCCGCGACAGCGGCAGGATGACTTGATCAAGGCTGCCGGCCCATGGCCTCCCCTGGGGTGCTGCCCGCCCGTGTGCGGTCACTGGCCTTTGACTCCCCCGCCAACGGGTCCGGCCCCAACCCAGGCCCCGAGCCGCCCTGAGGGCCCCCAGCAGTGCCACGGTGGCTCCGGCGCCACGGAGGGTTTTCGGCCCCACCGGTCTTCGCCCAGATGGGAGGTGGCGGCGTGCGGGCAGCCGCTCTTCGCAGGGCTGCTCTCGGGAGCGTTAGAAACACAGAAGCAGAGTGAGTCAGAAGGACCCCCCAGGCCATCTAGCCTGACCCCCGGCTCCAGGAGGCCCTGCTCACGACAGGCCTGCCATGCCTCTTTCCTCCGGGTAGCAAGGGAAGCAGGTGATGAAGGGAAGAACCCCAGGCAGGCAGGTCCCTAAACAAGTCAAACACCAGGTGGCGTTTTTGAAAGGCTGTAATTGCCCAGATTCCAAATTCTTGTCCTTCAAAGGTCCACGAGGAGCCAGCTGGCTCTGAGCCCCCCGTGCCGAAGAGGGGGCCCCTTTCCTCCTCTCCCCCCATCCCCCACGGGAAATCCCGGTGGGGCACACTTCGCCAGTCCAGGACCTTCCAGGGTCTCTTTTAGGGCAATGGCCGTGCTCAACGCGCCACTGTGTCCCCTTGCAGGCAGCGCCTGTGCCAGCGGCCGCCTCCTCCTGGCCTCCTGCTCAGCAGGCAGCTCACCTGCGCCACTGGGGCCGCTTTGGCCTTAGAGGAGCGGCACGCGGAGCCGTGCTGGCGCAGAGCACACCTCCTCCCTTTCCCTCCCGGATGGCAGCCGGGGAGCAGTGAGGGCTGAGGACGCCTCTCCCTCTCCAAAGGCTTCCCGTCAGGGGCCACGGGGCCCGTTCTACTGCAGGAGACGCCCTGGTCTGCAGGGGCGCCGGGCCTCCCTGGCCGCTCCCCTTTCACAGGAGGGGCGCCTGAGAAAGTCCAGCTGACTTGAGAAGGACAGATGCTCCGGCCCCCTGGAACAGCCCCAAGGTCCTGATTATGTGGTGCTAATCCCCCGCCAGCCTGTCTCAGGGCAGAGGCGGCCCTCCAGGCTCTGTCCGGCCCAAGTCCCCCCCAGGGTGGCTGCCAGGAGCCACTCTCCCAGAGTGTCTTCAGATGGACGAGCTGCCAGGCACCCCCCCCCCCCCCCACAGTCTGGCTCTGGTTACCCAACTGCAGGCCGCTTGGCTGCCTTCCCGGAACAAGCACTGCTCCCCCCTGTCCGCTCCTGCCTTCTCCAGATGTTGTCAGGGCTCCAGTGAGCAGGCGACACAGTGGAGCTGCTCCGTTCCCGGACCCGCCTGCAGCCGCCTAATGGCGGGCAGATGGGGGCAGCTCTTCTGGGAAACGGCCGGGCCCTTTCCAGAAGCCTTCCCAGGCCTTTTCCGGGCGGGCACGATGCTTCAGGCCCTCTGTCCTCTGGGTCCCGCGAGGAGGCCGTCAGCCGAGGGAGCACACCGTCCACACGCCATCACAGGCACCAAAAGCACATCCAGGCACCGGCGGGAAACGCGCCTTCGCACTGCTCGCTCGCGTGCGTCCCCAGGGCTCTAGCACGTGCCGCCTTCCCGCTGCTCTCAGGGGGCCCCTTCGCATGCAGTGTGCGACTGTCGCCAGCAGGGCACCCTGGCTGCTGAGGCGGGTCTGGGCAATGCCTCCCCCCCCCCCCCCCCCCAGTCGCATTGCTCCCGGCACCTGCCCAGTCTCCGCTGGAGGGAGCTGCAGAGCCTTCAGTGGGTGGTGGCCTGGAGGGCAAGCGAGGGGAGCAGCTTAAGAGGTCCTCTGGGTGCAGGGGGGCAGCCGCCCTGGCCGCTGTGGGGGAACCGGGCCCCACGCTGAAGGCGACACGCGGAGGCGGCGCCAAGGGAGGCCCTCGTCCCTGCGGGTCCGGCAGGGGGCGCTTCCGCCAGCGAAGCCAAAGAGGGGGCAGGGCGGAAAGGACGGCTGGGGCAGAGGCTGTTTCCGCAGAGGGTTCAAGGCGCATTGTGGGGGGTGCTGCTCTGGGGACTGCTCCTTGGCCCCGTCCCACTAGCACCTTTTGCAGGGTTTCCGCTGATCCAGATGCCTGTGAGGCCCCTGGGATCCGCCGCGACAGCGTACGAGAGCCGGGCACGAGGGCCCCCCCGGGGGGGGGTCTCCCTGGAGCAGCGCTGCCCGGCGGCCAAAGGGGGACCGGGGACAGAGAAGCCGCGGGTGGCCAGGCGCGTGCCTGCCAGGGGCTAGAAATGGGACTGGAGGCCTCGGGAGGAGGGGGGAAGGCCGCTGCAGCAACTTCCGGGGGGTCCGCGAGGGGGTGCCCTGGCAGCGCTTGCATCAGGCACGCAGGGGGCCGGCTGTTGGCACGGGCGCAGGCTGCCTGGAGCATGTGATGTGGCCGTGAAGGCAATCGCGCTTCTGAGCATGTACGGAGTGCCTTACCCTCTCCCCTGAGTGAGCACAGCCCTCTCAAGAAAGGCGAACCAGGACCGGGCAGACCGGGTCCGTTCGCGGGAGCGCTGGCGGGGGGGCGGGCGGCTGGGCTCCGCTGGCCGCTGGCGCCACCTCGTGGCCGCGTGCGAGGCACTCTCCGCATGATGGCTGCCTCTTGCCAAGGCGCATCCTCGCCCGCCCCTCCACCCGTCCAGTCTGGCAGGGTCGACCCTGACTGGCGGGAAGGACTGTCCCAGGTGCCAGGTAGGACACGGAATAATCAATTCAAGCTGCAACAGCCCAAATTCAGGCTGGACATCAGGAAAATTTTTCTCAATATGGCAGTGGAACCAGCTGCCTAGGGAGGAGGTGGGCTCTCCCACACTGGAGACATTCAGAAAGAAACTGCAGCCCAAATGCTCTCAGGATACGCCTCAAAACTTGCGCAAAAGCCCAGCTGCTATTCGAGGCAAAGGCAGTCAGCCCTGCAAAACAGGGACAAGCACTCCAGAGGTAATGCAGGCAAGAACTGGAAGGCCCCCATGCTGACCGCGCAGCCCCAGGCAGCCCGGCACCCTCCAGGCAGGCGCGCCCAGGGCCTCCACGGATCGCATTCTCCTCCCCGCACTCCTGTCATCTCACGACAACCCTGTGAGGGAGGCGGGCGGAGCGTCTGCGCCTGGCCCGGCGCGCCCCGGCTGGCTCCGTGGCCGGGCAGGACGCGCCCGGGCCCCGCCGCGCTCTCGGCCGCTGCGCCGCGCGGGCTCTCCCTTCCCGCAGCCCGAGCGAAGGAGCAGAGCGCGCGCAGGTTTCCTCCAGGTCGCCTGGCGCCCCTGCGCGCTCCGTGCCCGCCCCCCGCTGAACGCGCAACCGCAGCGCAGCGCGCCGGGACTGGAGCGCGGCCGCTGGAGCGCCCGGCCTCGCCGGCTCGGCTGCCTGCAGCGCGCCTGCCCGGGGACGCCTCCTCTGCGGGGGACGCGGGCAGGCCGCCCTTCGGGGGAGGGACGGAGGGGGCGGCTCCGGCCAGGCCGGCTCTCCGGCGGAGCCCGCCCTGCCAGGACCGCCGCGCAGGCCCCCGCCGCCCGGGAGCGCTTCCCTGCGCCGAGTCCACGCCCGCCGCGCAGCGCGGCGACGGTCTCCCTTCGGTCCCGCGGGCTGGAAGCACGTCCCGCCAGCCGCATCTGGCCCCCAGGACCCGAGGCGCCCTCGGGGGGCCCCAGACACCCCCCCCCCGCAGATGTGTGACTCCTGTGCGGAGTTGCGCGCGTTCAGAGAAGGCGGCCCCCCGCGCTCTTGCTGTGCAGCATCCTGACGCCCGCGGGCTTTGGCCCCCGGCTGGACGTGGCTCCGAGCTTGGCCACCCTCTGTCCTAAGGTCAGAGGGGGGTGTGTGTGTGTGTGTGCGCGCGCACACACACACACACATTTAAACAGTGTGACATACTCGGAATTTTATGAGATCCATGCTTAATATTTAGGTGGTCTTGAAGCAGCAAGTAACTCCCCCTTTTACTGCTGACGAGCAGGAATGCCAGTCCACTGGCCTCTGGTATCAAAAGGGAGAAAATTCTTAGCTGGCTTTTTAGTTTCTGTTTACATTTTCAGCAGTTTTTACATTTTTTGCAATACAAGATACAAGAGTATATGAACATTACATGAAAATGCCAAGTTACTAGAAGGAAAAATTTCAAAGCCTTCTGAGGCGCACCCCCTCTCTTTATGAACAGACTTCTTTAGGCGTATCTTACCCAAACGACATTCTGGCTAGAGCAAAAACGCTTAGAGAAGCCCAGCCAAGGACAGGTGTCCGGTCCTCGCCTTTCTCTGCTTGCGCGCTCCCGCTTGTGAGATTTCTTATGAGCTGCTCATGATGTGCGAGCAAATACAGAACTCTGCCCAGAATAATAAGTGACTACTTTTTCCAACGTTCCCAGTTAGAGTAAGATATTACTTCCATGTTAGCCACATTTCCTTAAGTTTCTCAGGTAGGCCCCTGCCTGTTTCCTTTCATCGGCTTGCTACTATTTTGCTATTTTAAATCGTGAGTGTCTTCGGTTCTATTTATTTCTCACAATCTTTTATGTCATCTTAACTCATTTGCCTCATAACCGGAGCGTGCAAACGATGCTCCGTGCCAACAGCACCACCTCGCTCCCGCTTCCCTGATGCACACGCCGCTTTTCCCGCCTGCTAGCTCCGCCTCGGCTTTCCCACCTTGCTTTAACACTCGCAGGCTCCTAGCCCATGAAAAACTCAGTGAAAATGCACAGCACATCAGCAAGAATGCTTTTGCTAGAAATAATGCCTGTCATCTGACGCCTCGGCCGAGTGAGCGAGACGGCAGGCTGTCCACTGTCCAGGCCCCAGGCTTGGGCCAAGGCCACTGCCGGTTCCCACTGGGCCAGGCTGCGCTCGACTGCCGCTCAGTCCGCCCTGGCCCGTGGCCTCAGAAGCCAGAGGGCAGCACAGGGGGGCTGGCGGCAGTGGCGGCCGCAAAAGCGCCCCCTGATGCTGGCCGGCAGGTGCCTGCCAAGGCCGGCCGGTCCCGCTGGAGGGCGGGAGGACGGGCTCTCCTGCCGCCGGCACTGCCGGCACCTCTACTCCTTGGGCTTCACTCGCAGCAGCTTCACCGGCCCGGGCGGCCTGCCTGGAGGCTGGGCGCCTCTGTGCAGCTCGTACACCAGCCTGGCCAGGGCCGCGGCACAGCAGAGCTCGACGCAAAGCAGGGACAGGTATATGGCGAGAGACAGCGTGCAGTACTGGTAGTTGGAGCTCAGCGAGAGGCCCCAGGCCAGGGCCGGGGATCGGAAGAAGGGGGCGCCCGCGGGGCGGCCGGTCCCGGAGCTCCCCGGGGAGGTCGTTGCTGAACTGGCGGTTGACGGGCAAAAGCTGCTGCTGGTGGCAGCCTGAGGTGTTGATGCCGGGCCGGAAACAGACCCCCGCGGCTCTGCCACTGTGAAAGCGAAGGGGGTGGCCGTCCGGGGGGGTGTCGATGCATCTCGCCTGGTTGTGGGTTCCGTGGTCGAGGAGCAAGAGCCGCACCCGCCTGCTGTGCCGGCACCGCAGAGGCACGCCACCGTGCTGGCTGGGGTGGGAGATGCCCCGGGGGAGGAGGGCCGCCCTGCCGGGGGGCTCTCAGGCGCAGGTGCTGGCGTGGCCGTGTGTGTTTTGGCAGCGGTGGTGCTGATCACGGGGGCTGGCGCCGAGGTCTCCGCATGGCTTTGGGGCGTGTCCGGAGCTGCTGTGGGGGAAATGTGAGGGGACGCGGTGGCACTGGTAGCGCCCGAGGTGGGTGCAGGTGGGGTCTCGGGGGTGGTGTGAGAGGTGGCGGCAGCAGTTGTGGTACTGGTGAATTCAGAGGCTGTTGTTTGCTCACTGGTGGAAGGTGTGAGCTGGAGGGGGGTGGGTGGTGCCCCGGTGGAGCTCCTGCCTGCGGTAGGAAGCATTCTTGAGCTTGTGATGGATGTGGAGGCTGTGCGTGGAACTGTGGTGGCACCCTCAGAACTTCTCTCGGTTGAGGTGGGACTTTCCACGCTGGTGGTGACCTGGGCGCTTGCCTTTGGAGCCCTGGTGGTGGTGCTGGTGCTGATTGCTTCCGGGGGTGTCTGGCCGCTGCTGCTGCTCCTCTCCAGGGACCTGGTGGGACTCCCCCTGCTGGTGACTTGGGGGCCTGCAGTTGGAGGCTCTGTGCTCTTGGCCGTGCTGGTGGTTGTGGCTGTGGGCTCATGAATGGTGGACATTTCGGCACCGGCAACGGTGAGCATTTCACTGCCTGGGGGAAGCGCTGTGCTTATTTTTCCTGTGGCCGCAGGTGGAAGAGTGGACACGGATAGTAATTTGCTTTCGGAGGTGACCAAAATGGGTGCGGTTGTTAAGCAGATCAGCTGGTCCTCAGTCAGTGACTTCACGGCTTTCCCAGCCAGGTCATCAGGACTTGTGCACTTCACCTTGGCGGCGTCCTTCACTCGCCCAGGGTTAGCCTTCATCCACTGGTAGAGATAGAGAAGAGTGCAGTCGCATCTCCAGGGATTCTCACCCAGGCTCACCAAAGTCAGCTTGCCGTAATTGTCGAACAGACCCCTGGGAATGGTCTCGAGCTGGTTTTTCTGAAGATTGAGAGTGGTCAGTTCTGGAGAAGAATGCAGCCTCAGGCTCTCCAGGGAACGGAGCTTGTTCTTGCTCAGGTCCAGTGTTTGCAGCCGAGGCATCTCTGTCAACAGCCGCTCGGGGACCACCTGCAGCTGGTTGGAAGCCAGCGCCAGCTGTCTCATGTTCCTCAGTCCACGGAATGCCTCATCTGGGAGAACCTCGAGGAGGTTGTTGTCCAGATAAAGTTTCTCCAGGTTGACCAAATTCCTTAGCAGAGTGGGCGGCAGACTTTGGATTCTGTTCTTCCCGAGGTTGAGTTCCACCAGGCCTTGCTGGCTGCTTAGACTCCCCTCCGCAAGGCTGCTGATCTCGTTCTGGTGCAGCCGGAGAATTTTCAGCCGAGGCAGCTGCTTGAAGACATCCTTGGAGATGCTGGAAATCTTGTTTCCAGACAAATGTAACAAGGTCAGTTTGGGCAGCTCATCGAAAACACCATCAGGAAGAAACGGGATTGAATTCTGATGCAGATAAAGTTCCTGCAAGTTCTCAAGATCATCAAAGAGTCCTTCCTCGATGTTTTGGATGCCAGAATCCCGCAAGTTCAGTTTCCACAGATGAGTGAGACTTCGGAAGGTGCCCACGGGGAGGCTCCCTAACTCTGCACTTGATATTTCCAGCTCCTCCAGTTTCCCTAAATTATCAAATGCTCCCACCTCAACTGTTCTGATCTTATTGCTAATAAAGTCAATTTTCACAAGATTGGGCATGTTTCGAAAGGCTCCTGCTCTGATTTCAGCAAGGCTGGTTTCCACGAAGAACATCTCAGTAATGATGGCACCGACTGACTTTGGGATCTCTGTGATATCTCTGGTCTTTGTGTAGACATCCTGGTAGGGCTTGGGGCAGGCGAGACCCCCCAAGCTGCTGCAGGGCGTCTGGCCTTTGCCACATTCGAGGAGGAGGAGGAGGAGGAGGAGGAGGAGGAGGAGGCGGCGGCTCCGGGGCAACATGCTGAAAGAAAGCAGCAGCGGTCACATCAACACACGGGGTGCGTTCGCGTGTCACGACAAGCCTTGTTGTGCGGGACGGTCTGTCAGGCTGTCCGCATCCCGCTGAACTAGTGCAGCTCAGCGGGATGGGAAGGAGCAGCTACCTGCGCTGTCGTTCCCGCACCTCGCCACGGCTCCTCCAATTGTCCGAACCGGGCATTGGGGTTCCCCGGTCCTGGGGTGCCGCTACCCCAGGATCCCCTGCAAACAGTGACAGGTGCAGGAGCTGTGCCAGCCTGGACCCAGCAGGGGATCCAGTTTCAGGTGTGGTGGCTGATGGGATATGTGCGCACGGAGGGTGGAACCACACTAGTGTGGAAACCATTTAATCGTCCGCTGGGCACGTCCAGGCAAAGACTCGGGTACCCTGAACGCCACACCGGGTTGCCTGCCGTGCTGCGTGGCGGCGCCAGGCCGCTCCCAGCGTTCGAGCGTGTGGCCGTTCGCGTGGCTGTGCCTGAAGGACGATGAGGCTCATCGCGGCAACGCTCCCCCAGCCCTGCCCTTGTAGCTCGGTCCTCCAGCAGGTACCCCAGGGAGAGTCCGGGGAGAGCCCACTCAGCCACGAGGGTCCCCGGGCTCCCCTGGGCCGGTCGCCCCGCTTGGCCTGGTGTCCCTCGCGAGGGAGCCGCCCTGCTGCGGGGGAGGGAGGGGATAAAAGCGGAGCAGAGAACCCACCCCCCAAGGCAGGGGCCCGACCTCCAAATCCTGCTCTGCAAAACCGAGCAACTGCAGCGCAGCCCGAAGCTCGCTCCGGGCCACTGGACGACGGAGAAGGGAAGGCGCGGAGGGGGACGGGGGGGGCGGAGCGGGACCTGCGCCAAGCCCTTCCGCGTTTCCCTCCCTCTCACTGGGAAGGACCGCCTTGATGCTGCTCCTCTGCGGGGGATAAACCGGGATGCCCCCCCCCCGAGCGCCTGGCGCAGGGCCCCCTCCCTGACCGACTGCAGGCTCTCGCGGAGGCTCGGGGCTCCAGGGCGCGGCGAGCCAGCGGAGGAGCAGGGCAGCCCCAGGCCCGGGGGAGCCGCCGGCCGAAGCCCAGCGGCCTACGCGCGCGGGGGACGCGGCCGGGGGGCCTCGCGGAGGGAGTCCCACTCACCTGCCCAGCCTGGAGGCGTCACCGAGGAGGCGAGGTCGGGCAGAGGCTGCCGCAGGGCGCAGCGCAGCGCGCTGGCTTTATCGCGAGCAGCGCCCCGGTCCTGGGAGGCGGGCCAGCCGGGCCCTGCCCTCGGCAGGGCGGTCTGCGGGGCGAGATAGCCGGGGCGGAGGGGGCAGCCACTGCCTCTCGGTCTCCCCTACCTCACAGGGTTGTTGTTGCCGGGATAAGTGCCTGCCCCTTTAAAGGAGGCAGTAATACGACCGGTCCTGAAGAAAGCATCACTGGATCCAGAGATGGCCACTAACTATAGACCTGTGGCCAACATCCCGTTTCTGGGCAAGGTGTTG